CTAGCTTACTAAGTTGTGTTCTTATTCTTGTTTCCTTAATCGTACTTTTTGACCTGCATTATAGTTCCTTTTCCTAACCACTTGGTTTCAATCCTTAGTTCGTTCATTTTCAGCCTTTTTCCCCCCGATAAAAACATTTAAAGCTTCAAATGTATCTCTAAGTGCCATATTAAGTATCTTCCACAAATTTTTATTTATAACATCATCATTGTCATTTCTTCTTTGACCTGTGTCTTATTTAGATGTGTGAATTTCTTTCTTTCTTTTTTTTTTTGGTTATCACACATCTTAGGGTTCAAATTATATTTTTATTATTAATTTAAAATTTGATAGCATTGTGATAAAAATGCAATCTGAATGATATTGATTCTCAAAATGTAGAGACTTGCTTTGTGGTACCATACACGTTCTGTTTTGTGAATACTTACTCCGTGTGTGTGAAGAGAATGACTAATTTCATTTGAGGGAACATTTTTATATATGCTTGTTCAATCAAGTTTGGTAACTGCATTGTTAACATCTTCCATATCTTTATGACTTTTTTTTTTTGAGTGGGAGTCTCACTTTGTTGTCCAGGCTGGAGTGCAGTGGCATGATCACAGCTATCGCAGCCTTCACCTACTGGGCTCAGGCGATCCTTCCACCTTAGTCTTTCAAGTCGCTGGAACTACGGGCATGCATCACCACACAGCTAACTTATTTATTTATTTATTGTAGAGATGAGGTCTTGCCACATTCCCCAGGCTGGTCTCCAACACTTGGGCTCAGTCAATCCTCTTGCCTCAGCCTCTCAAAGTGCTGGGATTACAGATGCGAACCACTGTGTCCAGTCTTTTAACTTCTAATTTTCCATTCTTTTAACTTCTTGGTTTTTTTTTTTTTTGAGTTGGAGTTTCACTCTGTCGCCCAGACTGGAGTGCAGTGGCCGCTCCCAGCCTCTGGCGATCCTTCCGCCTCAGTCTTCCAAGTAGCTGGAACTACAGACGTGCACTACCACGCCCGGCTAATTTTTGATTTATCGTAGAGATGAGGTCTCGCCAAGTTGCCCAGGTGGGTCTCAAACCCATGGACTCAGGCAACCCTCGGCCTCCCAAAGCGCTGGGATTACAGGCTGAGCCACTGAGCCCGGCCCATTCTTTTAACTTCTAATCTTAATGTTGTAAATGTGTCTTTTTTTCTAAAGAGCCTATTTGTAGATTTTGTGTTTTTAATCCAACCTGACAACCTGTGACTCGTCATGGGGAATTGTTAATCCATTTACATTTAATCTATTTATTATTTCTTTTGAGGGATTTGTATCATTTTATTTGAATTTTCTATTTTCTCTGCTTTTTCTGTGTTTTTATCCCTTCTTTTTCTGTTGTGTTTTGAGCTAGGCAGCTTTCTTCACGCTTTTCTCCCCTTTACTGTTCTGAAAGTGAAATATTCAAAGTCTACCCATTCAGTGGTTATCTTAGCATTTGTAACATGCCTACATGATTTAACAAAACCCCAAATCAATATTTCTAGTTCCATTTCCTTGCCAAAAAGTACAAAGCGGTTTTAACATTTTAATTTTTATTTCCTTTCTCCTGTCTTTCACATGATTACAATCTAGAATTTCGGTTCACCTTACTTTGCACTGGCGAGTTCTGATTCTTAATTCTTAACCGTATTTTACCTTACCTAGAGCACTACCTTCAAAGAGAGTCAGTTAATAGTATCTCTTTTAATTTTCTTGTTTGTCTGAAAAATGCCCTTGTTTTACTTTAATTTCCGTAGGATAGTTTAGCAGAACTGAGGCTTGCTGGAGAGTTATTTTTGCTTTGCATTTTAAAGGTCTGATTCCATTTTCTTTCGGCTTCTCTGGTTGTCATAGAAACTTCTACTTGTTCTGTCATAATAATTCCTTTACAGATGACCCAACTTTTGTCTGTAGAGGATTTTAAGATCTTCTTCTTGTCTTTGCTGTTCTACAGTCTCATTCGTATTTGATTGGCTGCAGGTTTAATCTCATTCATCCTGTTCAAGACTGACTGCACTTTCTGAATCTCAACTTATGTTTTTCAAATCTGGACAATATAATAATTGCATCTTGACTATTGTCTTTTCCCCATTCTTTCCATTCTCTCCATATCTATTACTTATTGTCTGAGGAGACCTACTTGTGACGGATTGCTTTCTTATGTGTTTTTTGCCCTGGTTGGTTGAATCATCTTACACAGAGCTTCATCTATGGGGCTCCTGTGGGGTCTGTATTGAGTATGTTTGGCTCCAAAACATGTTTACACTTGGCACCTGTCAGGGTTACGGTATTACTAACCAGGGACCCATTTTCTATTTTCTTTTCTTTTCTTTTTTTGAGTTGGAATCCCACTCTGTCACCCAGGTTGGAGTGCCATGGCTTGATCATGGCCACTGCAGCCTCGACCTGCTGGGCTCAGAGGATCCTTCCACCTCAGCCTTCCAAGTAGCTGTTGGAACTACAAGTGTGTGCCACCATGCCCAGCTAATTTTTTATTTTATTTTTTGTAGAGACAAGTTCTAATCGGTGTGAGCGGTATCTCGTTGCTGTTTTAATTTGCAGTACCCTAAGAATAGATAATGTGGAACATTTTTTTCATATGTTGCCCCAGGCTGGTCTCAAACCCTTGGGCTGAGGCAATCCTTTTGCCTCAGTCTCCCAAAGTGCTGGAATTACAGGCACGAGGCACCATTCCCAGTCCGGGAACCCATTTTCATATGAATCACTCCCTTGCTTAAAGTTCTGTATTTCTTGAACTTTCTTTCGCTCTTAGAATAAAGCCAGAGCCGGGCTCGGTGGCTCAGCCTGTCATCCCGCGCCTTTGGGAGACTGAAGTGAGTGGACTGCCTGAGCCCGTGGGTTCGAAACCCGCCTGGGGAGCAAGACCTCATCTCTACAATAAATCAAAAAATCAGCCAGGCATGGTAGCGCATGCCTGTAATTCCGGCTACTTGGAAGGCTGAGGTGGAAGAATCGCCGGAGCCCAGCAGGTCGAGGCTGCGGTGGCCGGGAGCGGCCACTGCACTCCAGTCTGGGCAACAGAGTGAGACTCCAACTCAAAAAAATTAAAAAAAAGAATAAAGACAGAAATAACTTATAAAGAAGAGCATGACCTACATGCTGCCTACTTTTTGAGCTTTTCTCCTACCTTCCCACCATTCACTCCACTTTTGTCTGTTTCTGAAATGAAACAAACCATCTCCCACGTGTATATGTTGTTCCTTCTACTTAAGATCCTTTCTTCCCTCTTATTTTAGCTATCTTCTACTCATTCTAATGTCTCAATGAAAAAACAATTCCTGGTCGGGCTCGGTGATTCAGCCCGTAATTCCAGCACTTTGGGAGGCCGAGGTGAGTGGATTGACTGAGCCCGCGGGTTCAAGGCCAGCCCAGACAACTTGGCGAGACCTCGTCTCTACGATAAATTAAAAAAAAAACTTTAGCCGGGCATAGTAGCATGCACCTATAGTTCTGGCTACTTGGAAGATTGAGGCTGAAGGATTGCCTGAGCCCAGCAGGTTGAGGCTGCGGTGGCCATGAGCATGCCACTGCATTCCAGCCTGGGCGATGGAGTGAAACTCCAACTCAAAAAGAAAAAAAGAAAAAGAAGACACTTCCTTAACTTCCCTGACTTTTCAACTGCCCTGACCAAACAATCAAAATCTCTCTCTCACTGGTTTTGAGAGCATCAAGCACCTTTCACTTATGGGATCAACCATGATTTATAAATATGCATGTATTCATCAGTGAGACCATTTAGTAAAGATTTGTCTTGACATCTTACCTGAAAGCCCAAAGCGACTGGAGACTATTTCTTTTTTACTGTCCATAGTATTGCCAATTCCTAGGACACGGCCTAGCATCTAATAGGTGCTTATTTAAAAAGTGTGCTGAATAAATAGATCGATTAACAAATAACTGAACAAATCAATGAATAAATAATACATTTTTCTGGAATTACATCAAACCGTTTTTAGGGCAGATGTTGTTTCTCCCTCCAAAGCCTGATTACTTGTCACCACACTGAATACAATGCCCTGGTCCTGTTGACCACCCACTCTTCCCAGGATTACCACAAAACCATCTGATCTGAACCAGACTCCTTGCTTCTGCTTGTACTCCCTGACGGGGGTCATTGTCAACACAGCCACCACAGATGTCTTTTGGAAGATGCATCTGATATGTCACTTGTGAGTGCAAACCCCCTCCAAAGCCTTTCGATCTTACTTCAAGTAAAAGAGAGCAACAATAACCAAGGGGGACTGTACCTACTTGCCCTCTGTCTCTCCTGGACGTGTCTTCCTTCTCTGTCCGCTCGCTCATGCATTGCTTCCACGTCCCTGTATGTGTGATTCTTTCCCTGGAATCCTTTTCTCCTGGTATGTTCACTGTTGACACCAGCCTTCTGTAGGTTTTTGTTCAAATGCCACTTCTCAGCGAGGCTTTCTCTGAAAAGCTGCAGGCCCCATCCTTATCTTGAGCACCACCCATATTCTCTTTCACATTAGCCCAACTTTCCCTCTGGCCCTTTAGTGGCTGATCATCCTGGACCCTTCTTCCTTCCGCCCTTTGATATGTCCCTGGGTCAGAGGTGAAGGGATGCCCAGGCATTCCTACTCTAGCCAGAAGAGACAATGAATGTCACAGCAGTGCTTCTGTCACAAAACCTAAGTTGGAGGCCAGGTGTGGCGTTGTGTGCCTCCTGGCAACTAGGGAAACTGAGGTAAGAGGAACACTTGCGCTCAAGAATTCGAGACCAGCCTGGGCAACACAGTAAGACTCCATTTTGAAAACAAAAAACATACAAAAAACAAAACAAAACAAAAATACCAAGTTGAAAGTGCTATGATCTAGTCACTATTGTAATTTAAAGCTGGATAATCTCATGTATAGATCTTTTCCTTTAAAAAAAAATATCAGGGATTGGTGAGAGTCTAACGATTTCCTTCCTCTCCCAACTGAACTTTGTTCTTCTCTTCCATCTGCTCCTAGCGACATGCCCTCCATGTTTGAACGTTTCGACAGGGATTTGGTCAAAGAGATTGGAAACAAAGATCTGAGGCCTGTCAAATACCTGTGCAATGCTGCTAAATTACGTCAGCTCGTTGTATTACGGAAGAAGAAGAGCTCTTGCTCATTGTTTTGGGAACAGACTGACTACATTCCAGTTGGATTCTCCCTCAGTGACATCCTGGAGCCAAGTTCTTCAGTCCCAGGTATTGTCAGCAGAAGGCAAGGAGTGAAAAACAAGGGACTCAGACAGGGATGGTCCCACATCCTAGAATCCGCAAGGCGCCCGGATCAGCCTTGCCTGCAGGCCAGGGGCAAGGACCTCGATCGATTGAGAATTGACGAATTATCTGGACCTAGGCATTCTTTAGGTCATTTACTACATACATCAGGCGCTTGAGGTGAAGGTATTATCCCCATTTCACCTAAGAGTAAACTGAAGTTTATAAAATAATCTGTTTAAAGTTACATACCTGGGAACTGGGGAAGCTACAGCACAATCCAGATCTGTCTGGCTCCACATCCCACTTGTCTTCTGCCTCAGTGTGCTGGATCCAGAAAAACGATCCTGGGGCTTCTCCTGAACACTGTGCAAGTGATACCACCATTTCTCAGGGCGAAGACTTTGTCCCTGTTATGCAGTGCCTGGTGGGTTCAAACATTTGCTCTCGGAAGCAATTTTACTTCAAATACTGATTGATTAGTCCTTGGGCTGGGTGATGGCTTGCATCTGTAATCCCAGCTCTTTGGGAGGCCGAGGTGGGAGGATGCCTGAACTCAGAGGGCCGAGACCAGCCTGGGCAATATAGCGAGACCCCGTTTCTACAACAATAAAATAAAATAAAAATGGATTCGTCCTCCACTGAGAGCGTTACATGAATGGGCGTGTTGGCACACCAAGGGCCTCAGCTATTACATTTCTCACACCGATTGTTCCAGAGTGAATTCTTGGTTCAAACGATGGTCATCTCTTCTCTTCCCAGAAACCGTTGTGATGGGACCATTCTTCTTTGATGGCAGCAGGGTCCAGAAGTACCAGGCTCGTGTGGATATGAACATGGGTGTAGGCATGAACGTGTCAGGGGAGGCCTCTGAGGCCCATAAATCCTCCCTTGGGTTTCAGATTGTTACTGTTCCAGCCCCAAACCTGGAAAAACTTCAAAACAGGTGAGGCCTTGGGAGAGAAAGGGGATGGACCATCAGTGTCCCAGGGAGCTCTTTCCTTGTGCACAAAAGGCACCTAGCCTGCTTTGTTGCTGGGAAATGAAGATAATGACACTCCAGATTTTGCTACTCTCCCTGGGCATTCACACCTCCCTTTATTCAAGTGATATTTGTTAGTTACCAAGTGAATACTTATTAGAGCAGTAATTACCCTCGTGTGTGCCATTTCATGTTGGGGCGAGAATAACAAGACAGATAACAAAAAACCCCTGTCCTAAAGCAGCTTATACATAGCAGAGGCAGGGAATGGGCTGATGGTGAGGAAATAAGCAATAAAAAATAAATGAACAAAGTAGTAATTGAAGTGAGACAAAGACTCCAAAACTTTCTGTTTAAATGACATATGCATTACTGCACTGGGATTTCTTTTTTTCTTTTTTTTTTTTTGAGTTGGAGTCTCACTTTGTTGCCCCGACTGGAGTGCAGTGGCCGTTCCTGGCCACCGCAGCCTTGACCTGCTGGGCTCCAGTGACCCTTCTGCCTCAGCTTTTCAAGTAGCTGGAACTACAGGCACATGCTACCATGACCAGCTAATTTTTGATTTATTGTGCCTGGCCTTGTCTCGAACCCGCGGGCTCAGGGAATCCACTTGCCTCGACCTCCCAAAGTGCTGAGATTACAGGCTTGAGCCACCGCACCCAGCCTAAAGTGCTTTTTGATTACTGATTACTTTTACTTCTTCCTTTCATTGACATTTTAGGTTATTGGTGCTATAATTTACATATTTTTTATGGTGTAAATCTAATAACAGGTTATTATAGAGTTATTTTAATACATTTAAAAAATCAGAGTTAAAAGTCAATTATGCACCACAACTACAATATTGCAGAATTCTGGCTTCGACTATATATTTACCTTTACTTCTGAGTTTTATGCATTCGTGTTTTTTATGTTGTTAATTAACATCTTTTCATTTCAGCTTGAAGAATTCCATTTTGCATTTCTTGTAAAGCAGATCTCATAGTGAGACTCCCTCAGCTTTTGTTTGTTTGGGAAATTTTTTATTTCTCCTTCATTTCTGCAGGATAGATTTGCTGGGTCTAGTATTTTGATTGTTAGTATGTTTTAAATTTCTTCTCCAAAACTCACTTAATGTCCATAAGAACCATATTAAGAGATGGAGTAGGCCATGAAGGCTCTGCCCTTATGAATGGATTAATGCCATCATTGTGGCAGTGGGATTATTATTATCACAGGAGTGAGCTCTTGATAAAATATTGAAGTACAGACCCCATCTTCTCTCTGTCTTGTGCAGTAGCTTACACGTTTTGCCTTCTTTCATGTGAAGACCCTTGCCAGATGCTTATGCCATGCTTTTGGGCTTTTCAGGCTCCAGAATCATGAGCCAAATAAGCTTCAATTGTTTAATTTACCCAGTCTGTGGTATTCTGTGATAGCAACAGAAAATAGATTAAGAGCAGTTTTTCTGTCAATATTTTGTACATATCTTTTCTAGTCTGTCAGATTTCTCCTGCGAAATTCACTGATAGACTTATATATACTCCCTTGTATGTGACGAGTAACTTTTCTCTTGATACTTTTAGTATTCTCTTTATCTTTGATTTTAGATGATTTAATCATAATGTGTCTTGGTGTAAACCTTTTTGGATTCAACCTATTTGGGAAATTTTGAGTGTCGTAAATCTTGATGCCTATTTCTCTCTCCAAATTTGAGAGGTTTTCAGTCATTATTTCTATAAATAAACATTTTTTTAAAAACTCTTTCTCATTCTCATATGTTTCTGAAGAATTTTTTTTTTTATTTGTAGTCTCACTCTGTCACTCAGACTGGAGTGCAGTGGCACTCTCACGGCCACCAGAGCCCCAGCTTGCTGGACTTAGGCGATCCTTCCACCTCAGCCTTCCAAGTGCCAGAACTGCAGGCATGCAGTACCACACCTGGCTAATTTGTTTTTAAGTTGCAGCCCCACTCTGTTGCCCAGGCTGGAGTGCAGTGGTATGCTCATGGCCACCACAGCCTTGACCTACTGGGCTCTGGTGATCCTTCCACCTCAGCCTTCCAAGTAGCTGGAAATACAGGCGTGTGCTACCATGCCTGGCTAATTTTTGATTTATTGTAGAGACGAGGTCTCATCAAATTGCCTGGGCTGGTCTCAAATCTGCAGGCTCAGGCAATTCACTCGCCTGGCCCTCTCAAAGTGCTGGGATTACAGGTTGGACCACTGAACCTGGTCTTGGCTAATTTTTTGATTTATTGTAGAGATGTGGTCTCACCAAGTTGCCCAGGCTTTTCTCTAACCCGTGGGCTCAGGCAGTCTCCACACCTCAGCCTCCCAAAGTGCTGGCATTACAGGCTTGAGCCACCATGCCCAGCCAAGAATTTTGTGTTTTGTTTCACTTGATGATGTACTCTATAAGTCCCGTTGGCTTTTTTCACTGTTTTCTTTTAGTTTCTCTGACTGAATAATTTCAATTGAACTATCTTTGGGTTCATTAATTCTTCCTTATTCTTGATTGAGTCGGCTATTTAAATTCTCATGAAATTTTTTTAGTTAATTGCTGATTCTTCATCTCTAGTATTTTTGGGTTTTTAAAAAATAGTTTTTATTTCTTTGTTGAATGTCTAGTTTTGTTCATGTATTGTTTTTCTAATTTTGTTTAGCTGTCTGTGCTTTCTTGTAGTTCATTGATCTTCTATAAGAGAATTATTCTGAATTCTTTGTCAGTCGGTTCATACATCTTCATTTTTTAGGGTCAGTTATTGGAGCTTTATTAGTTTCCTTAGGTGACATCATGTTTTCCTGATACCTCATAATCCTTGTATCCCCTGAGCTGGTTTTTGTGCATTTGAGGCAGCAGCCACCTCTTCCAGCCTTTATAGGTTCACAACATTAGTGATAAACCTTCACCAGTGCTCCCAGGCCTGGTGTTACTGCTGTTTGGACTATATAATCGGGCAGGGCTTCAGGTTGATCTCTGAAATGGCGGGGCTCTGTGAAGTGCTCACTGGCTGGGTGTGCTGCAGGCTGAACTCTGCATTCAGGTGGGGCCACAGACCAGGTTCTGCAATCAGAGGAAACCTCAGGCTGTGCTTTGCAGTTAGGCAGGGCCACAGGCTGAGTTTCACATTTGGGCAGGGCACCCTGTGTTTGTGCTGGGTCTCTAGCTGGGATCTTGAACCAGGCAGGGTTACTGACTTTATTCTGTGGTCAGTCAGGGTCCCTGTGGAATCCCAGGTTGGTTGGGTCCCACAATCCAGCCTTGAAGCCCAGCCTGTGTCCCACAATTGGGTACAGCAGCAGGCTGGGCTTCAAGGCTGGATTATGTCTCTGATCAGGCTCCCTCATCAGCCAGGTTGAGAGGTTATGATCCATAGTTAGGGCAGAGTTACCAGGTTGGCTTCCTGCCTGAAAGCGGTCTGGGCTGGGCTCTGAGCCTGGGAGGGCTTGCTAAATTGAACTCCCTGTTCAGGCGAGGCCAGAGTCTATACTCTGCTGTGAGGTGGAGATGCTGGCTGGCCTCTCTATCTTGGCGAAGTCTTAGGCTGGCCTCTGAGGCTGGGTAGAGTTGTTGGTCAGTTGGAGTCAGAGGCTGTGCCCAACTGTTAAGTGGTGTTGCTGACTGGCTTCCCTACCTGGCTAGGGCCTTCGGCTGGGCTACACAGCCAGGCAGGACCACTGACAAGGACTCAAGCCAGACAGAGCTGCCTACTGGCCTTCCTGGCCAGACAAATTAATTGGCTTGGCTCTTCAGGTGGAGGGGCTGCTGGCTGGTCCTTCTGTTTGGGTACCACTGCTGGTAGGAAAGCAATGTTGCCATGATCCGTGCACTGATTGCTGAAGTCCTGCCTCTTTCTTTGTTTCTAGCTGGCCAGATGGTCTAGTCTTGCCGATTCCCCCAGTGTTCTCTGTGAGATGAGACAGAAGTGGACCTCCCAAGAAGCACCTTGGAAAATGCTGTTGAAGCTGGATATCTATTTTGACTCTTTTTTCCCCACTAGAGAAATCATGCTGTGATGGCCCAGGGGAGGGGTGATGCCGTCAAAATGAAATCATTCCTTTTACTCTTCTAATGTGGCTTTTCTTTTTCTTTTCTTTTCTCTTTTGTGATCCAAGTGGATGCTTCAGTCTCATCCCTGGTTTCTGGGGTTTTCACAAGAGCATTTTTGTTTATGGGTAATTGCCAGTGGAATTTTGTGAGGCAGGTGGGGACCTCTAATTCTGCCATCTTGCTGATGTCCCTTCTGTTCATGGATTTCGTTTACTTTTGTGCACGTGGGGAGAGATGGATATCCAATGATCCCTGAAGGGTTTAGCAAAAATAAGTCTATGCATGCTAAAAACAAAGATGTCAATTTCAATAATAAGCTTATCAAGGCAAAACATCATTAAGTAAGCAACTAGTTAAAATTGTAGAATGTTTAGAAAAGAAAAGTTACTTTGAGAGGGCATTGCACAGTTTCTGTGCACCTGGCTTCTTGCAAAACTCTTATTAGGATTAACATTTGCAAAGAGTGTTTATGATGCAGAAGAACACCTAGATTTCTGTAGCTCACTGAAAAAAACAACATTTTCTCACAGAGATATTTTTCAGTATTTAAAGAGACTGCAATTCCACAAGTAAATATTATTTACCAGCACCAAAAGAAATAAGTAAGCTGGAGGTAAATACTTTATGTTTAAAAAAAGACAGTGAAATAGTTTTAATAAGCCAGATGTGGGCACGTAATATGTTTTCACCTACAAATGTTGCGAGGGTTTCTCTGAAGGTAATATAAAGGATGAGAGACTGGGTGGAGAGAGGGGAAAGTGTCTAGGTCTGTCTTTGGACTTAACAGTTGAGCTGAGACTTGAAGGATGAAAGGAAGCAAGCCAATGAGATGGAAGGTGTCCAGACAGGGAGTTTAATGCCCTTGGGGTAAGTGAGTGTGTGGTAAGCTAGAGGGTAAGATAAGGAATGTGGTCAGTGAGGTGAGAGCTCAGACATCCAGCTGCAGGTGATACAGCATGAAACCTGGTCTCTAAGTAGATGTCAGATGACACAGCACCCGGGGACATGGTAGGAAGCTTGAATTTCAATCCAACAGCAATGAGAAAAGTGAACATCAGATGCTCAGTGACCTTCTCCACTGAAAAGTGGATTAAGGATTCCTCTGTAGGAATTCTACATGACTGGTACCTAGGACGCCAGCTCCACTGGGGCCTTGAGTGGAATCAATGTTGAGCCTCAGAACTGAAATAGAGAGGCCAGGTGTGATGGCTCACACCTGTAATCCCTGAATTTTGGGAGGCTGAGGTGGGAGGATTGCTTGAGCCCAGGAGTTTGAGACCAGCCTAGGCAACATAGTGAGACTTTGTCTCTACAAAAAATAAAAATAAAAACAAGTAGCTGGGCATGGTGGCACATGCCTATAGTCCCAGCTACTCAGTAGGTTGAAGAGGAAGGATCCCCTGAGTGCAGAAGGTTGAGATGGTGGTGAGTCGTCTGTAGCCTGGGTGTCAGGGTGAGACCCTGATTCAAAAAAATAAAAAATATAAAAAAGAACTGAAGTGGATGAAATCTATCTTTATTTTTTATTTATGTATTTTTTACTTTTTATTTTTATTTTTGAGTTGGAGTCTCACTCTGTCGCCCAGACTGGAGTGCAGTGGCCGCTCCCGGCCACCGCAGCCTCGACCTGCTGGGCTCCGGCGATCCTTCCGCCTCAGCCTCCCGAGTAGCCAGAATTACAGGCGCGCGCTACCACGTCTGGCTGATTTTTTGATTTATTGTAGAGATGACGTCTCGCCTGCCCAGGTGGGTCTCGAACCCGCGGGCTCAGGCAATCCACTCACCTCAGCCTCCCAAAGGCACGGAATGACAGGCTGAGCCACCGAGCCCGGCTGAAATCTATCTTTAATACTTACTTCAAACCACTCATGTATCCCCAGAGACGATATCAAGTCAGCCCTACCAAGGACAGTAAACCCATCAAGACCCACCCGTGCTAGTCATGAAGTTACCCAGAGTCCTCTGCTTCATCATAGTTTGACTACCCTCCATGCTGCCCTGACTGTGGCTCTGGACGTTCAGTATAGATGCCCAGCCTTGGTGACAGGGCCTCCTAAGGACTGTCCCCAGCCTTCTGGACTTGTCTGCTTCTAGCTTCTCTTCTGAGAGACGGTAGTGCTGGAAATCTATAAATTACCTCTTACCAGGATGACTATCATTGAGTAAAGTGCAGATACCCTTGACAAGATGGCACACACACTCTCATGCCCAAAGGACCCTCAGAAAGTGGAGTCCCCTCCATCCTGTACTTCAGAGAAAACATTCTGCTGTCTTATGTCTAACATTCTGGTGTCTTAACCTCACCATCTAAAATTTTCCTACTCACGAAGAACGCACCTGTCAAGGTCTGAAGGCATTACCTCCCTCCTGGGTGAGGAGAAGGACGACTCAGGGGACACTGAAGAGTCGTTGCTCTTCCCTTCTGACTCGTCTTCTCCTTGCTTGCACCCCCAGGAAACTGTTGGTGCCGGAACCGTCATTTCTGAAGGAGTGCGGATGAGAGAGGGCAATCTGTATGTGGTGACGGAGGTTGTTGAACTGATCGATGATACCACACTGTATGGCAGCAATAGTACGAGCAATTTGGGGAAAGTTTCCTTTTGGACTCCTTACGTCAAGGTGCAAAGTTATCCCGAAGTGGGATTGGAGTACAAGAAATACAGCCAGTCCTGGGAGTTAGACTTCGCTTCCCAGGGGGCTCTGAACCCCGATCCCAGGAGTCTGGAGAGTGGAGTCCTGCCTTCCTACTTCTCACAAGCTAGAGTATCCTGACTTCTGACCTGAGACTGACTGTACTCTAATATCTTCAATAAGAGTATTTTAATATTTGGAATCATCAATATTGACAAAATTAGAAATATATTTGATTATAAAAATATTTAATTAAAAAAAGAAATGTTTTAAGGAGTGAGATTTTTTTTTTTTGAGTCGGAATCTCACTCTGTCATCCAGGCTGGAGTGCAGTGGCACGCTCATGGCCACCGCGGCCTCAATCTGCTGGGCTCAGGCGATCCTTCTGCCTCAGCTGGAACCTCAGGTGCGTGCCACCACGCCCAGCTAATTTTTTTTTAATTATTATTTATTGTAGAGACGAGTTCTCGCCAAGTTGCCCAGGCTGATCTTGGACCACAGGACTCAGGCAAGACTCTCGCCTCAGCCTCCCAAAGTCCTGGGGTTACAGGAGTGAGCCACTGTGCTTGGCCAGGAGTGAGATTTAAATATCTTTAGGCACGTGTGATTTACATGAGTCACTCAGAATAACCAGGTGTAATATTCTTTTTTTTTTTTTTTTTGAGTTGGAGTCTCACTCTGTCGCCAAGACTGGAGTGCAGTGGCTGCTCCCGGCCACCGAAGCCTCGACCTGCTGGGATCCGGCGATCCTTCCGCCTCAGCCTTCCATGTGGCTGGAACTACAGGCACGCACTACTATGCCCAGCTAATTTTTGATTTATTGTAGAGATAAGGTCTCGTCAAGTTGCCCAGGCGGGTCTCGAACTCGCGGGCTCAGGCCCTCCACTCATCTCAGCCTCCCAAAGCAAGGGATTACAGGCTGAGCCACCCAGCCCGGCTAGGTGTAATATTCTTAATATGCACAAATTTATTTATCAAATATTTATTCAGATGAAGTATGGGTTGGAGACATACAAATTGTGTGTGTTGGAGGGTACTTTCAAACATCTGCATTTTCTGTGCAATTGGTCCTCACCTAAGAGCTTTAGCAACTGAAGGAAAGGTCAGTGAATGACCACTAAAAAAGTAGACGGATGGTAACAGACCCTGGAAAAGAGTAATAGTGGACCCCCACCTGCAGCAGGGAAGAAACTCTAGAAACAAGAAACTTCAAAAGGTTCAGGGATTGGAAGCATCGGCTCCCTCTGAAGGTAAAGTTCAGGTAGGACTGAAAGTGAGACTGTGCGGTGGAAATCTTGACCAGGAACACTTCCAGCCTAGAACCCTTCCCCACCTCTGAACAGCCGGGCACCTATCCTCACCCACTCTGGCAACAGACGTTCTGGAAAACTCTCATACAATGAGGGTTCTGGATTTAGGGATACTTGTTCCAGGGAAGGGTGGGCGTGGGCCACCCTATTGGAAAAGGGACCCACGTGAAAGTCCTTGTTCTGAGATGAGACACTGAGCTTCATTTTCTGTTCAGTTCTGGTCATCGTGTCTCTACCCTCTCCACTTCCCAGGCAGGAGATCGGAGGGCTGTTCTGTGGGAAAAGTAACCAGTTCAAAAGAAATGACAGAAAATCCTAACAACCGGGACCACAAAGAAATAGCTTAATTCCTGCCCGATTGCCTGAAAGTGAAACTCCCACTCAACAAACCCCGCCAATGCCCGCTTGCCAGCTTCCACGCCTCACTCACCAATAAGAAACACACAGAAAAGGCTGGGCATGGTGGCTCATGCCTATAATCCCAGCACTCTGGCAGGCCGAGGCAGGAGGAATGCTTGAAACCAGGAGCAACAGAGTGAAATGCTGTCTTTTTTTTTTAAAGCCAGGATGCTGGTGGGTGCCTGTATTCCCAGCTCTTTGGGAGGATTAGGGTGAAGAATCACTTGCGCACAGGAGATCACGGCAGCAGTGAGCCAGAATCCTACCACTGCACTCCAGCCTGAGTGACATAGCAAGATTGTCTCTACAAAAGAGAGACGATAACAACAAAAATACAGAAGAAATCACAGACATTTTAAAACACAAAACTAAAACACATGGAAACTAAGAAATCAGAAAAAACAAAGGCACCCCAGGGAGGTAAGAAATACTTCATGCCCTGAAAGAGAAAATATTTTGTTTCTATGAAAGAATATTGTTCTGTTAAAAAGAGCATTTAAGCCGGGCTCGGTGGCTCAGCCTGTAATCCCGTGCCTTTGGGAGGCTGAGGTGAGTGGATTGCCTGAGACCACGGGTTCGAGAACCGCCTGGGCAGGCGAGACCTCATCTCTACAATAAATCATAAGTTAAAATAATAAAAGTCAGAAAACATAATCAAAGAAAAAAGACATTTTCAAAAGAAGCAAGTGAAAAAGACAGAAATATATTAATTTAAAAAAATGTAGGCAGGGCTCAGTGGCTCAGCCTGTCATCCCAGCACTTTGAGAGGCCAAGGCAAGTAGATTACTTGAGCCCACGGGTTCGAGACCCGCTTGGGCAACTTGGCCAGACCTCGTCTCTACAATAAATTAAAATTTATTAGCCAGTCGTGGTAGCGCGCACCTGTAGTTCCAGCTACTTGGAAGGCTGAGGCTGAAGGATCTCCGGAGCCCAGCAGGTCGACGCTGGGGTGGCCGTGAGAGTTCCACTGCACTCCAGCCTGGGAGACGGAGTGAGATTCTAACTCAAAAAATAAAAAAATTAAAAATAAATTTTAAAATGTAGAAGATCAGTCCAGATTTAACTACTTCTGAATAACAGGAGTTCCAGACGGGGAGCACAAAGACATATGCAATGGGGAAAATCCTTCAGGAAACCTTACAAGAAAGATTCTGAGACTTGAAGGGTGTGTTTTTGGAAGGTATGGCTTAATGGGGCAACGTAGATCCATACCACACAAATAAGTGTGAATTTTCAGAATACTTGCTTCAAGAAGAAAATCATGAATGTTTTCTAAAAAGGAAAAATAGTGGCTGGACACGGTGGCTCACACCTCTAATCCCAGCACTTTGGGAGGCCAAGGTGAAAGGATTGCCTAAGCCCAGGGGTTCAAGACTAGCCTAGGCAACGTGGTAAGCCCTTGTCTCTACAATAAATAAGAACAAATTAGCCAGATGTGGTAGTGCATGCTATAGTCCCAACTACTTGGAAGGCTGAGGTAAAAGGACCGCCTGAGCCCAGCAGGTCAAGGGTGTGGTGGCCGTGAGTGTGCCACTGCGCTCCAGTCCGGGTGACACAGTGAGACTCTAATTTAAAAAATAAAATAAAATACAAATAAAGAAGTGTAAAACAATTTTTAAAAGTTACATTCCAAGAAATTTCAGTCTAGAATTCATATGTCTAGTTAAAATATCAATCAAGCGTGAGAAGTAAAAGGAAGATGTCTATAGATATACAAGGTCTCAGAGACTGTGTCCCCCATCTCCTTGGAAGAGAAGGAGCAAAGAGACAGAGAAGACACAGGGCATCCCCTTAATCAGCAAAGGAAAGCTCAAGAGAGGAAAAGCCGTTTACCCCAAGGGTAGACAGTAAATAACTCAGACGTGGGGACACGGACATTTTAGAAATAAGGGAGAAGGGAGGTGAGGGCTGGGAGAGGAACAGAAAAATGAAATTCTCGTGATCAAAAAGAGAAAAGAAATAGACATATGCTAAGTCTGGAAACAAATCAAGCACTGCAATATGAGCATCACGTTGAGACATGAGGACCATTGCTAGGCCGTTGCCAGGCCATTGGGACCATTGCCTTGCTAAGTCATGGTGTGGCCATGTGCTCTTTGAGCTACGACCAGGCCTTGTGTTCTTAAGCTTTGACCCCTTCTTTGGTGAGGTAAATCCTCTCTTTCTCTCTCTCGCTCTCTCTCCAATTTACTTTCTAAATAAATGATATTTTCTAATTAAAGAGAGAGAGAGAGAGAGAGAAATGAGAAGAAGAACACAATGAAACCGGGAGACAGTCATCGGAAACCAGGTGGCAGGAGTGGGAGTCAAGAGCAGGGGCTGCGGGTGTTCCCCCATGAGCTTTCTAGACCTCTCTGACGTTAAAGTTACACGTGCTTAGTATTGAATTGTCTGCTTTCCCTCTTCAGGGTCAAGGCCAAGGAGAGAGTCTCAACGTGAAGAGTAAGATGCTGACCCTGCAGAGGGGCCGGGCGGTGGGTTAGAGCATGAAGCAGCTGATTATCAAGGAGACAGGCGGGCGCAAGCGGAGGCTCAGGGAGGCAGAGACGGGTGGAGGGCGTGTCTGCCTCTCCAGAACCCAGAAAGGAGGGGAGGAAGGTTGGCAACAAGCAGGATCCCAGGGCCACACCCATCCCACCACTACACCCACCTCCCAACATGGCGCCGTTGAGATCTTGCTCCTGGCAGATAGAGAGACCATCTCCTACATGAAGCCCAACTTGGAGCTCTCATCTTAGAGTGTCCTTAGCACTGGGCAAAGCCCAGCCTTAACCCAGCCATCTCTATTCATTCATGGCTGGGCCACTCTCCCAACCTCTCCAGAGCCCTCTCCAGGTTACCCATAATCCCACTGGCACCACCACAAGGAAAAACGCAGATATAATGCCCCAAGAACACAATGCAGAAATTATCTCCGTCTCTCCCTCCTTCACTGGCCTCAAAATGCTCAGTCCCCTACTACACACACCGGTGTTGTGGGCAGAACCATTGACACCAGCTGTATATCCGGGCGTGATGGCGAGCGCTGGGGACATAACTGGCTCTCGTTGTCCTTGTCGTCTCCTTTCCCAAATGTTGAGTCTCGGCTAGAGCTCATCCGATTCAGCTGGGGCCCAGCTTCTCAGAGATGGGGGATGCCCACACCCCACCACACTCACGCCCACACACTCTGCTCCCAACAGCATCCTTACTGCGACAGCCGGTCAAGGAAGCTTCTTGGTGTCCATGGCCGCCCATCGGTGGCCATAGACAGAAAGAGGCTGGACTGCCCAGCCTTGTGCAGTTAGCGGACTCTGGCTTCTGGAGGAAGACCAACCACACCTAGCCTCAGCTCTCAACTGCTGAACAGGGCCCACACTTTAGAGGGAGGTCAGAGACTCCTGCCAAGGGCACCGGGAGAGGGAGGTGCTATCAAAGGTCATGGTGAACACGACAGTTCAGTCATATCAATAGCAACAAAACCAAAAAAGAAATGGTCAGAAAAAAGGAGGTCTCCCCACCCCCCAAGGAAGATGGTGAGGGAGAAGCCAGAGAGAGTCGAGTCCATGCTCACTTGTGACTAAAGCCAGACGGAGTCACCAGCGAATCGACTGTAGTGATGGAGTTGTGACTGCAACAAGAGGAAGAGAGGACAAAGAGGGTACAGGACTCCTAAGGAAGTCCACTGAGGGGACAGTGAGTGGGAGGAGGTGGTGACCGAGGGGAAACCTGGGGGAGGGGGCCGATGAGACGGCAGACTCGGGCTTGTGGCCAGGTTCAGGAAAAGACCCTGCTGAACTAGAGAAGGTGAAGGCGAAGTGGTGACTCATGCCTGTCATCGCAGCACTTTGGGAGGTGGAGGCGAGAGGCTGGCTGGAGCCTACAGTTTCGAGACCAGACTGAGCAACTTGGCAAGACCTCATTTTAACAATAAATCAAAAGATTAGTCGGACGTGTTGGTGCATGCCTGTGGTTCTGGCTACTTGGAAGGCGGAGGCAGAAGGATCGCCTGAGTCCAGCAGGTCGAGGCTGCGGGGGCCGGGAGCGAGCCACTACACTCCAGCCTGGGCAACAGAGTGACTCTGATTCAAAAAAAAAAACCTCAAAAAACAAAAAACGGTGAAGATAAGTTGGTGTCTGTCCCATTGCTGGACATCTATCTGCATTTCTTTCGTCAGCTGGAGGAGAGACACTCTCATTTCTATTTTACTAGCCAGTGCCATGGCACGTTATTTAACTCCTCTTATTTTTTTTTTCCTGATTCGTTAGGAGGATGAAATTTGTTCCTCTGTAAGTCAAGCACGTTGTAAATGTGTGTTCCCTTCTCCCTTAGACCCAAAGTGGAGTGCCACTTCACCCCTGGTGGCCAGAAAGTGACTTACAGGGAGGTCCACCTTTTGTCTAACTGCATTCAGTTCACACTCGCCAACACTTTTTTTTTTTGAGTCGGAGTCTCGCTGTCACACAGGCTGGAGTGCAGTGGCACACTCACGGCTACCACAGCCTTGAATTGTTGGGCTCGGGCAATCCTTCCACCTCAGTCTTCCAAGTAGATGGAAACACAGGCATGCGCCACCGCTCCCAGCTAAGTGTTTGATTTATTGCAGAGACGAGGTCTCGCCAAGTTGCCCAGGTGGGTCACTGTGCAACACTTACACGACATGTTTTGTCTTCTTCACGGGCTCTTTTCCCCTGTTGAACACTTCGACTTCAGTGTTAAGCAAGTCTCAGACCTCAGCACATTTCTCTACAGGGAGTGTGAACGCACCCAAGATGGTTGGGCTGGGAGCTGGCGTGAGGGCAGGTCAGAAAGAAAAGAGACAGGAGGCCAGCCTCCCAAAAGGGCCGGGGAGGCCGGTCTCCTTGACCTCATCAAGGTGATTCTCCAAAGTTGGAGGGCAACCAGGATTACCCAGGGTGCTTGCTCAAAATGCAGGGTCAGGGCACCTTTCGACAGTGATTCAGAAGACACAGAATGAGACTAGGTGAGACTCAAGCATGCCGGTGGCTCCGATCGACAGAAGGGGTCCCTGGTCCCGGTCAGGGTCGGGGAAGCCTCGGGCAGGAATAACCTGAGCTCTCCCAACGGGGCTTCCTTTCCATCCAGCCGTGTTTCTCGTCTCAGGTGATGGTGAGCAGGAAACCTTCCAAGATGGTGAGTTTCAGAATCTGGCAGCCTCTTGGCTGAGAACTCGGGCCCGGCTGAGCCCTGACCCCCGTGGTAGTCCCACAGGAGCCCCACGGAGGGCTCAGCCCTCACCGACCCACAAGGAACCGTCCCCCAGCCAGGTCTCTCCACCAACGCCCCTCTCCTGGCCTCTGACCCGGCCTCCAGCCCCTGGGGCCTTAGAGCAACCAGCTTTTCTCCTCTGACCGCTCAGCTGAGGCTGTTGCGAGTGGGAGCTTCCTGGGAATCTATTTCTCTGGGGAGGTTTCTCAGCTGAAGCGGTGGTGCCAGGCGAGAAACAAGGGGCAGAGAGCGGACTCAGGGAGGCGAGACCAAGAGGGAAGAAGTGGAAGAGGCAGGCTGGGCAGACTGACTCGATGAGTAAACCATTTCCTTTCTCTTTCCAGAGAGGCATTTGATCAATAGGCTGAGAGAGGTGAGTGGGTGATTATGGAGCCAGGGAAGTGGAATCTGACCCCTCCCGGGGCCACTCCGAATCACAGAAGCCCACCCCTGGCTGCCGGGACACAAGGCCTTGGGATCTGGCCTCCTGGGCCAAGGGCAGGGGAGGAGGGACACAGGGGAGGCGGGGGCGGAAGGCTGAGAAACCCAGTCTGCGAGACCCTCTGGTGAGGGATCTAATTTCTCTTCCTAACATTCGTTGGCGGAGGTCGTGTCCCCCCGATAGGTGAGCGAGGGTTTGCTGGAGGTGGGATCCCATCTGTGCACCTTGGGTAAGCAGGGATGATCGTCCCTGTCTCTGCCCCCCTGCCCTAGGGCCTGGCCCTCGGCCACGCAGAGTGGGAAGGGTCTGCAAAGGCCTGGGTTGGGGCCGGAAGACGTCAAGCGAGGGGGGTGGTGGGAGGACAGAGCCCCCCACAATGTCCCAGAAGTAAACGCAGGGGGCGAGGAAGGAAGATGACCCGTGATTCTCTTTCTCCTTCCGGGAAGAACAGAGGAACCGCTTTGGCGAGGTGAGTGTTTTTTTACTAGGAGGAAAGCTTGGGGTTTCTGGGTGGGAAACTGCAGGGCTGAGCGCCCTGACTGGGAGTTTCCATGCCAGCAGCGAGCTGAGGCCTGCTTCCGAATGTGCTCCTTGTTCTGGCCCACTTGTTGAATAAGGATTCATCCGAGAACACCGGCAACAAGCGCTTACTGAAGACACACCAGGCAAGAGGCAACCTGCGGAGTGCCGATCGCAGGCACGGCCGGGAACCAGACAGACAGAAGTTCCTGCCTCCCGGGGCCTCCAATCCAGTGGCCTCTCGCTGACAACAAGTCACCCTGAGGCCACCTGACGCCTCCCGGGAAAAGCAGAGACCCCGCCATTCACCTGCCGGTTTAGTCTTCATAGACATCGAGGTTCAGGCAAAACCGCTGGTCGTGAGGGTAGCGCCTACGCGCCAAGGGCCTGGCAGGCATAACCTCACTTGATCCTCCCAGTGGAAACTGTCCCAGAGCACCCATGGTTTTCATCTCCAGAGCCCAGTGCTGGATTTCACACTCTTCCTGACATGTCCTAGAAATGGCCACTTGTTCCTTCGCTTCCACTCGCAACGACTCTTTCCAGAATCTCCCGCTCTGCTCCCTGCACCCCGTCCCCTCCCTTCAGAGGTCCGGGAGTGTCCATCGTTGTAGCCTCTTGGACGGCTCCATCGCCAGAGCTCAACCATGCCACTAGCAGCGACAATTCTGGCCAGGGCTGAGAGGATATTGGCTCTCGCTAATGCCCATGAGCTGTGCTTCTGAGATGTTCTAATCAGAGTATCTCCCGCTTTCTTGTCGGTGTTGATGCCTGAGGGCAGATTTCAAGTGTCTGCAAGAGGAGGTTTCCCGAGAATCGGAGGCACTGGCCCAGCTCTCCGAGGACGTTCGAGACATCGTGTTCCAGAGTGTCCAGGCCATGCTCGGAGACCGAGGGGCTCTGCAGGACCTGATGGACACGGTGAGGGTCCCACAGCTGCCCAGGCCTGATCCAAGCTGTAAATGGGGTTGTAGGAGATATGGCCACCAAGAGACATGGAGGGGGTTTCTGGGGGGGGGGGGCGAGGATGCCCGAGGTGCCCAGGGAATGAGATGGACAGTGGAGGTTGGCGACTCTAGCCCCAGGACAAGGCCCAGGGCAGGGAGTGCAGCCCCCACATAGCCAGGCTGCTCGGAATCCCCTGGGGGAGGTAGAGAGCCCTCACCCTCCCACCCTTGGTCATCTCCTAGAGACACAGAAGACACAGTCAAATGACTTAACTTTAACGTTACTATTATAACATTGTAATAACATTCTACAACATTAACGTTACTAACATTGTAATAACATTCTACAACATTAACGTTATTATTATTACCGCAACCTCGAACTACTGGGCTCTGGCGATCCTACCACCTCAGCCTTCCATGTAGCTAGAACTACAGGCGCGTGCTACCACGCCCGGCTCATTTTTTTAATTTATTGTAGAGATGAGGTCTCGCCTACCTAGGCGGGTCTCCAACCCGCGGGCTCAGGCAATTCACTCACCTCAGCTTCCCAAAGGCGCGGGATTACAGGCTGAGCCACCGAGCCCGGCTAACGTTATTATTCTTAACACTAACACCTAGCCTGGCTCGGTGGCTCAGCCTGTAATCCCAGCACTTTGGGAGGCTGAGGTGAGTGGATTGCCTGAGCCCGTGGGGTCGAGGCCTGCCTGGGCAACTTGGCGAGACCTCATCTCCACAATAAATCAGAAATGAGCCGGGCGTGGTAGCGTGCGCCTGTAGTTCCAGCTACTTGGAAGGCTGAGGTGGAAGAATCGCCGGAGTGCAGCAGGTCGATGGCCAGGGAGTGCCACTCCAGTCTGGGCAACAGAGTGAGACTCCAACTCAAAAAAACAAAAACACAAAAAAACAATAACACCTGTCCCCTGTAACTGGGACACGACCCTTCAGATCATCTGGACAGCCCCGGCGGCACCATGCTCAGCGAGCCAGGAGAGACCTCAGGCCCTCTGCGGCTCGAGCTGAGTCCGGCCTCTGTCACCTTCCTGAAGCCACAAGTGAGAATGGCTTGGGGATGTGGTGGGAGAGTCACAGGCCGGTCCTTGACCCCAAAGGCAAAGCCCTCAGGCCTCGCGATCCTTCCTCCTCATGTCACTCTGTTCAAGCTCAGAAGGGCCCAGCGTAATAACTCACCCCTGACACAGAATGGGTCTGAGGCTGTGAAAGGGACCGCGGTGAACCTTCGAGATCCCCTGGAGACGGATCCTTCCGCCTGCAGCCTCAGAGTCCCATCCTCCAGACCGTGTCGTTCCGGCTCCTGGAGGCCATCCAGGGAAAGCACACCTCAGAAGGCTCAGCCTCCTTGTGAAGCCGGCCTGGCGCTCCTGGGTTCCAGATGGGATCCTTTCTCTCTCGGCGAGCGTGGTCCGGGGTGTGAGGGCAACTTTCACTTTTATCGCTTTGCTTTCCCCCCACACTTTCATGCTGAGTGTCACCGCTCTTCCCAGAAGCCAGTCTTCCCTCCCCCGGTCCCATCTCCCCTGCCCCAATGTCCCAACAAGCAGACGAAGAGGCCAGATTGTTCAGCCACATTGTGGCCTTGGGTTAAAGTCTGTAAAGTGGAGAAGGCCGTTCCAACTGCTTCCTGCTCACACTCATATTTCCTGTTTTGTCCTGTACTGAAAATGTCCTGGGGTGTTTTTTATTTGCTTGGTGTTTTGTTTTGTTGAGTCGGGGTCTCACTCTGTGGCCCAGGCTGGAGTACAGATCACAGCTCACTCCAGCCTCTATCTCCTGGGCTCCGGTGATTCTTCCACCTCAGCCTCCTGAGTAGCTGGGACTACTACCAGCATGTGTCACCATACTCAGCCAATTTGGGGATTTTTTTGTAGAGACGAGGTCTCGCTATGCTGCCAAGACTGATCTCGAACTCCTAGGCTCAACCACTCTTCCTGCCTTGGCCTCTCAAAGTGTAGGATTACAGGTGGGAGCCACCACACCTGGCTATTTGTTTGCTTTAACTCACGGTAATCAACTCTGGGTGTTTAGCATTCATCTCTTTTCTTTTTCTCTCAGCAAGAAAACAACAGGATTGCACATTCCAGAGATTTCATCTGTCTCTGGTGGGGCCCAGAAGTGGCCAGGGAGAGCTTTGCTTCCAAGGGAATCCCCAGGTCACACCCTGGGCAGCGTGCACCTGTAGCTCCCCCCTCTCTGAGCTGAGGGTTTGACACCCTTCCTTTCTAGAGCTTTCCTGGCATCAGATAAGAGCAACACCAACCCTCACCAAGCTGAGATGCACAGATTTGTTCTTCGCCTCTCCTTGGCTCCTGTGTCCTTCCCTCTGGGCAACTTCTGTTACTTTAAAAAAAAAAAAGGAAAAAAACCTAAGTCCCTTTATATTTTCATGTCCTGTTTTTCCCTTAAGGTCGTTTGAGTAGCTTTCCTTTGTAACCAAATGGTTTTAAATTAAGAGAACTAACTTAACCTCATCTCCTATTGTGGTTTATCTGAGCATCAGACCCAGGAATTCTCACTTTTACTCTGTGAAGCAGAGAGGACAGGAAAAGGATGAACATTTATGAAGCACTGACCATGTGCCAAGTTGTGTCTTCACACAACTCAACCAACCTTCCCTCTGGCTCAAGACAAACAGAATCTCCATCTACAAGGAAGACACTTGGATGTCCAGGGTGAATGGCAGTTCAAAGGTCACAAAACCAGGTAAAAGTCAGGGCTGAGATTCCATCTGATGTGTGTCTGACCCCAAAGTCACTGCCTACTGCACTATCTCTAGAGACTGGAAGAAGGAGAGGGAGAGGAACTCAGAGAAAGAGAGGGAGAGGCAGAAGGAGCGAGAGGAGGGGAGGGAAGAGGGACAGGGAGGGCGATTCAGCACAGGGACAGGGCCCTCGCCCAAGGATACAGCCAAGCCTCTGCTTCCACTTGGGTGGCCTTTGCCCATCCAGACGCTTTCCCACCCCAATCTCACCGCATCCCCCTGCCTCACCTGCAAAAGAGGCCGGACAAGCACCAGCCCCTCGCCCGATCACAGGGTGCACAGAGGCCAACGGACTTCATCCGGATCTCGTGGCCAGCAGAGACAGAGCTGCCACTCGGGTCTGACACCTGAACTTTCCCCAGTAGTCCAGGGTCTTGAGTGGAATCCCAGACCTTACATGGCGCATACGAGAAGAAAATGTCAGGTGTCAGCAGAAGCTGTGGCATCTGTTGTCAGAAGATGAGCAGATTGTCGAGATGACGCCTCCATGATCCTGAAGCTCAGAGGAGCCAGGTGACTAAGTGCCCTCCGTCTCGCCTGAGGAGTCATGACTGAGCTGGACAAGGAGGCCCAGGGTCCCACCAGGCAGTCAGAGATCAGCGGTCTCAGGGCTGGAGGCTGAGGCCTCCCCCTGCTGTCCCGCCCACTGTGGAAGCGAAGAACTTTCCAAAGGTCATGGAGCTGGCGAGAACTAGAACTGGGACTCCAACCAGGGTTTATCTAACCCAGCTCTGCTGTGCTTGGCCGTGGTGGACTGGAAACCAAGCAACACTCAAGAGGGACAGGTAGTGGGCCAGGCCTAGAGGAAGCCTGGGAGAGGGAGCCAGGGGAAAAAGTCGCCAGTGGTCATGGACACAGCCCATGGGGTCACGACAGGATAATCCTCCCCTTCGGAATCTCCCTGAGACCCTGTACAAGAAAGAGATGCTCCCACCCAATGCACAACCTTTACTCTTAAGCAGGAAGACAAGTTTCTCTGCCTGACGCTCTCTCCACAATCCCTTCCCACTAACGAGCCCACCCGGCCCAACCTGGTTAGGGACATTCATGCTACAGCAAAGGCGAACCAGTCGGGTCAGGCTGCCACAACACAAGGCCACAGACCGAATGGTTTACACAACAGAAATGGGTGTCTTACAGTTACGCAAGCTGGAGAATCCAAGATCAAGATGGCAGCATGGTCTGGTTCAGGTGAGACTCTTGTTCCAGCTCACAAAGGCCACTTTCTCATTGTGTCCCCCCATGATGGGGAGAGAAAGAGAGTGAGCAAGCTCAGTGGCGTCTCTTCCTGCAAGAGCACTAAACCCATGGGAAGGGCCCCATCCTCATGACCTCACCCAGGCTTAAGGACCTCCCACAGGCTCCATTTCCAAATACCCCGTCTTGGGGGTTAGGGCTTCAGCTTATGAATTTGGAAGAGAGACAAACATTCAGGTGATCACAAAAGGGAAAACCAGATTCAAGCCCTGGCGTTGTGAGGCCCATTGCTGGAAATTCAGATTTTTTTTTTGAGTTGCAGTCTCACTCTGTCCCCTGGACTGGAGCACAGTGGCAGGATCACCACAGTGTTGATTTCTGGGCTCAGGTCATCCTTCTGCCTCAGCCTCCCAAGTGGCTGGAACTACAGGCATGTGGCACCTTGCCTGGCTACTTTTCAAAAAAATTTAAAAAAATTTTTTTTTTTTTTTTGGAGTTGGAGTCTCACTCTGTCACCCAGGCTGGAGTGCAGTGGTATGCTCACAGCCACCGCAGCCTTGACCTGCTGGGCTCCGGCAATCCTTCTGCCTCGGCCTTCCAAGTAGCAGGAACTACAGGTACTCATCACCACGCCCGGCTAACATTTTGATTTACTGTGGAGATGAGGTCTCGCCAAGTTGCCCAGGCTGGTCTCAAACCCATGGGTTCAGGTAATCCTCTCACTTCGACCTGTCTTACAGTTATTCCAAAGTGCTGGAATTATAGATGTGAGCCAAGTGGCCCGGGCTGGTCTCAAACTCCTGGGCTCAGATAATCCTCCTGCCTCAGCCTCCCAAAGTGCTAGGATGACAGGCGTGAGCCACTGCGCCAGACTCTGGAACTTTAAATGGGAAAGAAATGGAGAACAAAGGTCAAGCTTAGCCGGGCTCGGTGGCTCAGCCTATCATCCCGCGCCTTTGGGAGGCTGAGGTGAGTGGA